CTTAATCTGGTTTACTAAATAATAAACTGAAGTTGAGTAATAGTAACTCTAGAGACCCGTGGATTCGATATTTATCACTTGAGCCACTATACTGCAGTCCCTTTCATTGGTTACACTTGGCCTTTGTTAGGAGTTGTGTCATAGCGAGCCAGCAGTCACCTCCCTACAGAGCACCTCGAAATGATGATGATGGAATGGAGATCATAACCATCGCCGGAGGAAGAAAGCGCCCAAGATCAGAAGGAGACCGCCTCACGCAATGCCTCAACGTGCAACGTAGAGCCCGATCGATGTCACTTTCCTACCATCTGAGTTGGCCAACGAGGAAAATTCCGAAGACCCCTGGTCATTCTTTCAGAACCGCAAAATTCAAGGTTACTCGAGCCCTAGTCGACAACGGGAGCTCGACCGACATTCTATTCTATTCGGCGCTCAAAGGAATGAAGAATAGCGTCCAGGACCTCTAACCCTCCAACACCAGCCTAGTAGGGTTCTCGGGAACAAAGGTTCGTGTCCTCGAGTCAATTACACTCAAAGTTACCATATGCGAAGGCGGGGTCACAAAGACCGGTCCGGTAGAATTCTACGTGGTGGACTGCGCCTCCTCCTACAACGCAATCCTGGGTCTCGCTTCCTTCGAAGTAGTTGCATCAACCTGTCACCAAATGCTGAAGTTTCCAAGTGGAGGCCTAACAGGCCGTGTCCGAGGTAACCTCAAGGAAACCAAAGAGTGCTACCAAGCAACGATCGGACACCTTGAGGTCGACCTAGTTGATGCAAGAGGTTACGTACCCCGCCCTGAAGCAGTCGAGGGTGACGTAGCGGTCGCGCTCAACAACAAAGAGCCAAATAAGACCGTGCGCATCTCAGCCCACTTAGCCAACGAGGAGGCTCAGAAATTACTTTCCCTCCTCAGAGAGTTTCAAGACCTCTTTGCATGGGGTCCGGAAGATATGCCTGGCGTCCCGCGTCGGGTATCCGAGCACCGACTCTCCGCCAAGCCCAAGGCGAGGCCGATACAACAGCGGTGACGACACCTATCGGTGGAAAAGCAAATGGCTCTCGAAGAGGAGGTGAGACGCCTCCTCAAAGCAGGCTTCATTCGGGAAGTACAATACCCTACGGGGCTCTCAAACCCAGTATTCGTACGCAAAGCGGGGGGCGCTTGGAGGATGTGTATCGACTTCACCAGCCTTAATGCAGCGTGTCCCAAAGACGCGTACCCCTTGCCTCGCATCGACCAGTTGATCGATGGAACCGCCAATCATGAAGCCCTCAGCTTCTTAGACATGTTCTCAGGGTACCATCAAATCAAAATGGCAGAAGGCGACCAAGAACTAACCGCATTCATGACTCCCATGGGTAACTTCTGCTACGTGGTTATGCCATTCGGGTTGAAAAACGCAGGTGCGACCTATCAAAGGATGGTGGATGCGGTCTTCAAGGACCAGATGGGAAGAAACGTCGAGGCTTACGTAGACAACGTCCTAGTCAAGAGCAAAAAAGCTGGCGACCACCTCTCCGACTTGCGAGAAACCTTCGAGACGCCGCGACGCAAGAACCTAAGGCTCAATACTCTCAAGTGCGTCTTTGGAGCCGAGGCAGGAAAATTCATTGGATTCATGATCACAAAAAGAGGAATCGAAGCCAATCTAAAGCTGATCGAGGCCATCTACAGCCTAAAACCGCCCAAGACGATCAAGGAGATCCAGGCGTTCAATGGCAAAATTGCAGCACTCAGTCGGTTCATCCCGCGATTGCAGACAAATGCTCCCCGTTCTTCCAAATTCTCAAGAGATTGGCTTCAAGACTCCAATGGGGCGCTGAGTGTGACAAAGCGTTCACGCTATTGACAAATCAGTTAAGCTCCTCACCAGTCTTGAGCGCCCCCATCAGCGGGGAGCATCTCTTCCTCTATCTGACGGTTTTAGAGCAGGCTGTGAGCTCAGTTCTAGTTCGAAGAGCACAAGACGGCTCAGACCAACCCGTCTTTTATGTGAGTAAGGCCCTCCTCCCGGTAGAGACAAGGTACATGCCTGTCGAAAAGGCGGTCCTTGTTGTGGCCACCGCAGCCAGGAAACTTAGGCCGTACTTTCAGGAGCACCCCATCACGGTGTTGTCTCACCTCCTGCTCAAAAGTATCATGCGTGGCATGGACGCCTCAGGCAGGTTGACAAAGTGGGCGATCGAGCTCAGCGAATACGACATAGAGTATGCCCCGAGGCTAGCCATCAAGGGGCAGGTGCTCGCAGATTTCATCGCCGAAGGATTCTCCCTCGAAACCTCCCCACCGGTAGAACGCAACCGCGTCTGGCGTTTATTCACTGACGGAGCCGCAGGAAAAACCGCCTCAGGGGCAGGAATAGTCATCGAATTGCGAGATGGGGTCACTCATGAAATCTCACTAAGATTCAAAGACATTAAAACCAACAATGTCGCCGAGTACGAGGCTCTCATCAACGGGCTCCGGGTACTCTCCAGCTTGGGCGCTTCTAATATGCACATATTCTCTGACTCCCTCCTAGTGGTCAAACAGGTACATGAAGCGTTCGAAATCAAGGATGAGACTCTGGCCGTTTTGGCCACCAAAGTACGAACCGCCTTGGCTCAATTGAGCACATGGAAACTTGAGCATGTTCGAAGAGAGAACAAGCACCATGAAGATGCGCTCTCCAAACTGGCCACCGCCATGGACTTCGAGGGAAACCGGCATGTCACCGTCACAAAAGAGAATGATGCCCAAGAGGAAGTCATGGACATCGAAGAGGCTACCGACTGGCGGACGCCCACTACTCCAATACTTGGAGCATGACATCCTTCCGCAACATCCAGTCGAACGAAAGGCGCTCCAACGCAAGGCAGTCTGATACTCCATAGTAAACGGTCAGTTGTGCGAAAGGTCGTTCTCAGAGGCGTACCTAAAGTGTCTGGGTCCCGAGGAGGCGCGATGGACCCTTAAAGCAATACACCAGGGGACGTGCGCCACGCACGCAGGACCCTGGTCGCTCGAAAGGATAGTGCTCCTCCAAGGTTACTACTAGCCAACCATCAAGAATGACACTTCCGACGTCGTCCTAAGATGTCATGCATGCCAAGTGCATGCTTCCAAGCACCACCTCCCCAGCTCTGAGCTTCAAAGCATGGTCGGCCCATGGCCGTTTGCAAGGTGGGGCCTGGATCTCCTGGGGCCGTTTCCCACGGCGCCCCTAGGGAAAAAATACTTGGTGGTGGTCGTCAACTACTTCAATAAGTGGATCGAGGCGGAGCCATTGGAGACAATCACAAGCGCCAGATTCCAGAAGTTTGTATTCAACAACATCATGATCCACTTCGGCATCCCACACTCAATCATCACAGATCATGGTACCCAGTTCGACTGCAGGCCATTCGAGAATTTCTGCGCCCGAAACCGCATCACGTGCATGATGGCGTCAGTAGCACATCTTATAGGCACAGTGCACGACAACCGAGCTTCCTCACATCTTGTAGGCGCATCGCATGACACACAAGACAGCTACGGGCGAAACCCTTCGCTTTAACCTATGATTCCGAGGCGGTCGCTCCCGAAGAGATGGACCTATTATCCCTCCGCGTTCAAGCTTATGACTCAGAGTCCAACAACAAAAAGCTCCTCGAACAGCTGGACATGGTAGAGTCATGGCGTGAGGTGGCCATGGAACGCATTGTCCGCGAAAAGGCCAAGGTAGCCGCCTCCTATAACCAGAAGGTGAAGCCGCGTGCCCTTGAGGAAGGAGACATGGTTCTCAAGCGAGACTTCCAGAAGAAAGATGACCACGGTAAGTTGGCCGCCACATGGGAATGCCCATTCCTCGTCGGGGAAAAGATAGGTCCCAGCACCTTTCGCCTTGCAACCATGGAGGGTGCTCCCGTCTCCAAAACATGGAACGGCATGCACCTGAGAAAGTACCACACAGACGCGGTCTAAGGTGTTTCCTGTCACAAAGGCGAGGTTTATTTTAGCGGCTAGGGCAATGTCCCACCGCTTGTAACAGTGTATTGGATGCTCCCAAGCAACTATTTTTGCTCACGTAATACACTTATATTTTTCGGCTACGATTCCTAATCTGCTTGAGTATTTTCCCCACTCCTTTCGATCCACTAACACAACGACTCGTGAACCAAAGAAAACAAGACCGCATACGCATTACGCGGTCAAATGCACGACGAATATATCGCATGAAGGCCGTGAAAACCAACGGCAGTATGAGCTCGACATGACACACCCACATGTTATGCGAAGAAAGTTCAACTATGCACAATAAGAAACGACAAGCCACCGATAAGGAAAAACATGAGCCCCTCATCGACTCAAACTCAAACGTCGTCATAACCCCACAGGTCGCCTTCGACCAAAATCAAAAAATGCAACAGATACCATGCATGAAACACCAGCAAACACCCGCTCCAACGCGGTCATTAAACATGCTCTCACGCACGAAGGCGTTCAAGGCTCACAAAAGTAATTGTTCACAGTTTACATAGCAATCCCAACCACAGCAGAATACGAAATTGAAAAACGGCTAAGTCAGCCTCAAACGGTGGGAGAAACACCATTTTCCCCTCCACCCCCTCCTCATCAGACACAGTCTCTTCGTTCCCCGCCTCTTCTTCCTCTGACTCATCCGCCTCAAAGTTGACGTCAGAGGTAGACCAGAAGCCGATTGCATCCCAGATGCGCTTCGAGTCCTAAACAACTTCAGGGTGGTCTTGTCGGAACAAGTGACAAATGGCCGCCACTACGTTACCAACTACGCCTTTGTACTTCTCCTTGTCGATGGCGAGAAATTCGTAGGACTTTAGGTAGGCAGGACCCGCCTCAGCACGGGCAGGGGCCAACTCCGCTTCACGCACATCCAGCAATGCGGCATTTTCCAGCTTTAAGGCGTCCACCTCTTTTCGAAGCTCCTTTTGCTCTTCTAGCAGAGTCCTTTCCAACTCAATCGATTTGCGCACACTTTCCTGGAGACGGTTCCTCTCTGTTAGCGCTCTTTTAGTGGCCTCCTTCTCCACTGATAAGTCCGCTCCTTCTGGGCCAACCGCTCGGCAAACTCCCGCTCCACCTTCCGTAGAACTTCCCCCACCAAAACCGGGCGGTTTTCACCTGCGCTCTTCTGAAGGTTCGCAATCTGAACTGCATTATCATCAACGGTCTTCGCCAAATGGGCGTTTAACATAATGATTTGTGAAAAACCGATTTGAGCCTGCACGCAAACACCCCATCAGAATGCACCAAAGCAGTCAACAACGATAAACTCAAACGGATAAAAGGCTAACCGCAAAGAAGAATTGGGCGGCGGTTCCCGCTAGACGCCTGTTGCTCCCCTGAGAAGTCGACGTATAGTCAGTGGGCATGGTGAGCCAGTCACTGATGGTATGGAACCCATGTTCAGCGGCCTCAGTGTCAGTGGCGTCCAGAGGTGACAGCGCAACAGAGCCCGCTTGCTCCGCACGTTTGGCGCCCCTCCCACGTTTATGAGCTGCCTTGGCATGGGGAGAACTGGTCTTCGCGCGCTTCGCCGCTGCTTCAGGAACGCCAGACTCCGCAATCCTCTTCCCCTCGCCCTGCATCACAGGGATCGATGTGGCGGTGACCGTCCACGACAAGTCAATGATCGGCGGGACAGAAGAGCTAGGGGGACCTTGAGCGGTCAAGCCCGCCTCAGCTACTGACGTCGAAGCACCCTGCCTTAGCAGCCCTTCCAGCTCTTCTCTTTCAGGGTCTATTCTCATCCGCCAGCTCCCTCAAATCTGAAAAAGAAAGGCATAAGTAAAAACACATGAGAAGGAGAAACATAAACTTTAACGAAGATACAACACTAACCATAAAAAGCACGAACATGCTAGTAAGCGCTCTCAGGACTGATATGCCTCACGCGAATCTGGACGCCTTCCACAAGACGCGCTACATGGTCCTTCACCTACTGAGGGAACAGACTAGATGCACACCAATCGTCTTTCAAGCCAGCCGCATAACCCGTCAGCGGCTCGGTATCCCCAGAGTACCACGACGAGTCTAACTTAGGCGCTCTCTTCAAAAACCCAACAGGGTTCTCCCGCCTGCCGATGGACCAACAATTGGTCGACTCACGTATGTTGTAAATCATCCGGAACGCCTCAAATGAAGGAGTTTCCTTAAGGCGGTCACATGCCCACCGATACATGACTGAATGAAAAATGATGGTAAGCGAAAAGCAACCCAGGGTGCATCGAAGCCATAGCAGAACCTTCGTCAGAATGGGATCTAGCGGAAACCGCAGCCCCAATTTTACATGCTCGACGTGGATAGGGATCCAACCCTTTGGACACGACCCTGAGAGGCTAACTTCCGATGGGACCGCGTATTGCCACTCTAGAGGCAAATGCAACGACTTCGGGCGGTACAAAACCTGCTCGGAGTTAAAACCTAGTGCGTGAGCGATCCCCGAGTCAAGGCCTCCTGCGGGATTGGCTCGTCACCCCACATTCCCGCATGACGCAAAAGAGTATACGTCGAGTCGGCAATCACGATGGGAAGTGGTCCGTCATTGGCATCCTCCACTATATCCAATGAAGAAGACGTGCTCGGAAGCGCCTCCGAGCGTACACCACCACTCCCAGACTCGTCATCATCATCCAATGACACACTATCTAAGTTTACCCGCCCAAAATCCCCCATGTTATCCCCCACCACCGAAGACGTGGTCACAACCCCAACTGGTACAAGGCGGGTGTTATCACAAGAATCATCTAAGTCTAAACAAACCCCAACAAGACAATCGTCCAATTCAGACACATTTCCAACGTATAACTCTAATCCGGACAAATCCCACATGCATTCAGATGCATTTCGAGTCGCAGAAGAATAAGTCGTACCTTGAATGGCGGGTGCGGTCCCAATAGAGGTCGCTGTGATCCTCCTACCCGCAGTATGCGATGATGGCGCCACGGCCGACATCGGAGGCTTCTTTGGGGAAATTGCGGGGGCAGGGTCAGAAGCGGGGGCATCGGAATTACCCTCTCCGTCGCCCGACATCTATGCTTAGCGGCGCCAACGGCAGACAGTGATCCACGAATTGCGAGAGAAAAAGCCGAAGTTCGAAAACAAATAAGAGGGTCAGTGAGAAGAAGCTCACAAAGCAAACGAAAATGTGCGGTGGAACTAGGGCGAGCAAACTCACCTGGTAGCGCGGAAAGATTTATAGGAGCCAGAGTTGTTTCCTCTGACTCTTCCGCAGAGAAAAGAGGGAGAAGAAGACGAAGCGATTTCCGAAAAGAGGAAAGAAGTGAGGAAAAAACCCTCCAAACAAGCCATTTAAAGCAAAATTGAGTTCAAAACTCGGGGACAGCGTCGAGCGAGAATCGAAGCAATCAAAACCCCTCGAGGTGATGTTCTCCCTGCCGTTGTCAGGGCTCCGCGCCCGATGTGCTGACAAGTGGCAAAAAAGGGGTAAAGCAGATCCACCTTAGGCACTCTTGTGCTATGCCCTCGCGGCCAGGGGCATGAGAAGAATCACGCGCCATGCGATCTAGAAACCGCCAAAGATGGTGACATGGGTTGGCGGCCCAGAACAGCTCAATAATGGCGAAAGACTTCGTTTAGTCGCGAAAACCTCCCACTTCTCCCGCCTAAGGGGCAAATGTTAGGCCAAATATTGAGGTTCATCGGCCCCAAGTCCATAGTCACCAAAAAGCCCATAAAAAGGTTAAACAGGCCCGAAAGGGGCAAAAACGTACCAACCCAACTCGGAGGCGGTTCGTCTTCTCTATTCGCGAAAGACCGCCCGAAAGGTGTACTCGCGCGTAGCGAGGAAACCGCCCGACAGTGTGGTCTAATGGATCTCTGTCCTTCGGGTATGGAGACTGACAAAGGTACGAACCAAGTGCGCATCTGATAAAGCCAGAGGCGGCCTAAAGCGCTCGACAGGCTATTAAATGCGCGCAACCCAGCCACAACTAGTATAAATACCCAATGATGGGGATCATTTATGGTAACTTGCATACACTAAATTCTCTCTCTTATTTACTTTCTATTCACTTCTCTCTCTAACTTTAGCATCGGAGGAGGTCCCAGGATTCCCCTGAGGACCTTTCTTGTAGGATTTTGAAGGTTGCCCTCTACCGTCGAAGCCGCCAAGGATCCGTGAAGCCTCACAAAACCTCCTGGAACGATCCAGGCACAAACATTTGCCAAGTTCATGGCAATGTTGAAGCAGGTCAACATCAGCATGTCGTTCGTGGAGGCACTGTCGAAGATGCCGAAGTACGCTAAATTTATGAAGGATCTTCTCACCGAAAAGAAGAAACTTGGGGATCTATCGACAGTGATGCTGAGCGAGGAGTGTTCTGCTATCCTGCAGAACAAGCTGCCCGAGAAGCGCAAAGACCCAGGGAGTTTTACTATCCCTCTTGTTATTGGCAACATGCATGTAGGAAAGTCCTTGGCAGATTTAGGCGCTAGCATAAATGTCATGCCTTATAAATTGTTTAAGAAGCTAGGCCTAGGTGAACCTAGAGCTACTAGGATGAGCATTCAGTTAGCTGACCGTTCTATTGTGCATCCTAGGGGTATCATAGAGGATCTGCTTGTTAATGTAGGTGCATTCACATATCCTGTTGACTTTGTTATTTTGGATATTAATGAGGATGTTGATGTGCCTTTGATTTTGGGTAGACCATTTCTCGCCACCGCCAAGGCACTTATTGATGTGCATAGTGGTAAATTGATCTTGCGTGCTGGGGATGAACATGCTACTTTTTCTGTGTCGAAGAATGGGAAGCACTCTCATTTGCATGATGACTTAGATTATTGTGATATGTTTGCTGATTTTGAGACCGCACTCGCCATAACGAGTGCGGGTACTGACGATGCTCTTGAGCGTTGTATTTTGCTAGGTGAGCAGGCATCACAAGAGCCTCAGTTGGAGGAGCAGTTGGCCGCGCTGGAGAGTGGCGGTCTGTGAGACAGCCCCAGAGGAGATTGACACCTAACCTGGAGGTTGTGGTTCGGGCAGAGATTGTGAAGCTGATGGACGCGGGGATTATCTTCGTCATTGTCGACAGCAAATGGGTCAGTCCCACCCAGGTGGTACCCAAGAAGGGTGGGATGACCGTAGTGCCTAACAAGAAGAATGAGCTCATCCCGATGCGCACGGTGACTGAGTACGGTATCTGCATCGATTACCGGCGTCTCAACGATGCCACTCGAAAGGACCACTTCCCACTGGCATTCATTGATCAGATGCTGGAGAGGCTGGCGAGGCACGAGTTCTACTGTTTCTTAGATGGGATGTCTTAATATTTCCAAATCCCCATTGCACCGGAGGACCAGGCGAAGACCAATTTCACCTACCCCTTTGGCACATTTGCCTACCGGAGGATCCCATTCGGGCTGTGTAATGCCCCTGCCCCTTTTCAGCGATTGATACGCCCCTGGGGGGGTGTATGTTATCAAAGTCACGCAGCTAACGACTCAATCGAAGAATCGATTGAGCTCGAATCAAGAACGAAGCGTTCTTAATACGAACTTGGATAAAGCGGAACCAAAAGGACAAATCCACACCTGGGGATAGCTCGATTGGTATAAGAGGGTAGTTGCTCGACCACGATTGAAGTGACTATTCAATCGATACACAAGCTCAGCAAGTTTGGAATCCACCAAACCCAAAACAAGTCGCAACTTGCACAAACCAAACGGTTTCTTTTCTATTCAACAAAGTCTTAATTTTACAACGTAATTAGAAAGGTATTTAAAGGCAAATAAACCTAATGCAAACCTAATAGAACTAGGAAACAATTAAGGTAAAAATCTACTCTAAAAAGGACTCAAAATCCGGATTTAAACTCTCTTTCTTCAAGTGCAAGTAAGCTGCCAGCAAACAGTCAAAAGCAGCTTTCGTACTAACTTCGCGCCTTTTGTTCAAGGCTTTCCAGAACTTCAATCTGTCATCCAATTCCTTCCCTTGGTAGATAAACATACCTAGTTTCATGTTGTAGAAGCCTTTGGACATGAATAAGATCCATACTCCTCGAATTAAGCTCCAAAGTAGGCTTCACAAAACAGTTTCCAGACTTAACCATTTTCTGGCAGTTTTCCAGTTTTGAGGTAGCAACTTTGAGGACTTGGAAAACAACCTTAATGACATCTTCTGGATCCATACAGCATACCATTGGAAAGATGGTAACTTTATCTGCAAAACAAATCCTTAAAATTGAATTTCCACCAAGCCAATTGCGAGAACCATGCCTCCAAAGTATGTACCCTGAACACGGATTTGACTTAGCCAAATTCTGCCATTCTTCTTTCCAACCTTGATAGCTTCTTTGGCAAGTAATTGTGACTTGTAGAAGTGGCCAATTTGGATCATATCAGGCTCCCCCTCTTCAAAAAGCTTTGCCCTCAAAGCTTGTTCTGACCTCTTCGCAAAATTGCAACAAAATTGATCCCAAATTGGATCGAAAGAGGACTGCCCAAACACACTTTTCGGCAAAAAATTTTGAACGTCAAATTCTTCTTCAGCTCGTAAATTGGCTTCTGTTCTCCACGATTTGAGTTTCAGTAGATTCTTAGGGCTCCAATGGACCTTCCCCAAGCAATCAGTTCGATCAAACAAACCCAGAACACACGATTTCAAATTTCCAGATTCCGACGATAAAATCCCAGAAGCCGGCGCCGGCAAGAACTCCGGCGAGGGCTCCAAATTTGGGGCTTTCTTACTCACGCCCTTTCGCTCCAATTTTTCACATCCATCAGGTTCGAATTGACTCCAGGGTATGATTCCAACCCCTTCCATGCCTCGACGTCGCCGAAGTCGCTCCAATTCATTGCCGCCAAATTTCCCGCCACTGAGAACTTTGAAATCTCCAGAAACCGGCGAATTAAACCCAGTTTCCGGCGACCAAGACGCGAAATTGGGGAATTGTGATTCTTGCAATTTCGTACTGATATCTGCGCATCTAAACCATCCTTTGGCAGCCAGAAATCGACTCCACGCATTCGAACAGATCAAATCACGCTCAAAACCCGAAACTGATTCTCTCTTCTCGCCCTTGTTGTTCTTCACGTTTCGGTTCAAAAAACCCAGATTGGGTGTTTTCGACTCAGGGGTGGCCGTGGCAAATTGAACGATCCCACAGCTTCGTAAAGTCCCTCCCTTCGATTCTGAACTCCCAATTGACATCGATTCAGCTGTAGTTGCCCCGACCCATTCGTGGGTTTTTGCTTCATATTCGACCCTTTTCAGGGCAAGTTTTTCCAGATTTGGATTCGCGATCAGGGCTGCATTCGAGTCAATCAATTCAATAGAAGAGTTTCTTGGGAATATTTGGGATGTGTGGGCATTGGTGGTTGAGGTCAAAGTCGCCCCAGTTGCTCCGACCAATTGCACCTCTCTCCTGCTCTGCACCATCGTCGTTGACGAACAGAGTTCCGCTGCTCTCGTCAATGGCTCGATTTGAGCATCCTCGGGGATCGCTGAATCGTCTGCTTCACTGATCAGAATTCCTTCACCTTCGAGTAAGACCTCTGAACCATCTGGCTTGCTCGATTCATCCTGAAACTTGTCGAAGTGTCTTGGCTTCTCGGTGTTCTGTGTTATTAGCGCAAAACAGGGGATTTTCTGGGCAGAACAGGGGTCGTTCTGATCAGTGGATTCCAGCGAGAATCCTTCATTCCGAGGCTTCCTAAAGCTCATAAAATTGAACCCAATGTTGCGTTGTACCCACAACTGAGCTTTGACACCCTTCCCTTCGTTCATCCTCTCTTCCATTGTCTTGAGATCGGCATAAACGTCGTCGGGCGACATAGGCTTCAGTTTGATCTTCTTTCCATCGTGTTTGAGGGTGTACGAATTCTCCCAACCATCGTGGATCACCCTTCTATCGAATTGCCAAGGTCTACCCAGCAAAATATCGGCGTTTTGCATTGGAACAACATCACAAAGCACAGAATCCGAATAGTTACCAAGGCTAAACTCGATCTGCACTTGTTTGTTGACCTTCAAGTCACCATGTTCGTTGAGCCAGGTGAGATGATACGGTTTAGGGTGCTTCTGGGTTTTCAACTCAAGCTTTTCTACGGCATACGTACTGATCAAATTCGCGCAACTCCCTCCATCGATCACCAACGAAGCGATTTTGCCGTTAATCTCACATCGGCTGTGAAATAAGTTGTCTCGCTGCTCGTCAAACTCTCTATGCTTGATTATGATTGCTGGAGACGTTTCTTTGCTACAATTTCGTGGCTGCTTGGCCTCTGTGCTTCCCTCTACCAACTTCTTAGCTCCTGCCACGTTTTCCATTGCGATTTAGCTCCGGACAACAGCTGCAAAGCATAAACAGGGGCTGCCCTGCTTTGGAACTCGATAAAACTGCTTATACGAAACAGCAGGTTCTTCTTCTCCTTCGCCCTTGTGTGGAACCGGGCTCTGATACCACTTGATACGCCCCTGGGGGGGGTGTATGTTATCAAAGTCACGCAGCTAACGACTCAATCGAAGAATCGATTGAGCTCGAATCAAGAACGAAGCGTTCTTAATACGAACTTGGATAAAGCGGAACCAAAAGGACAAATCCACACCTGGGGATAGCTCGATTGGTATAAGAGGGTAGTTGCTCGACCACGATTGAAGTGACTATTCAATCGATACACAAGCTCAGCAAGTTTGGAATCCACCAAACCCAAAACAAGTCGCAACTTGCACAAACCAAACGGTTTCTTTTCTATTCAACAAAGTCTTAATTTTACAACGTAATTAGAAAGGTATTTAAAGGCAAATAAACCTAATACAAACCTAATAGAACTAGGAAACAATTAAGGTAAAAATCTACTCTAAAAAGGACTCAAAATCCGGATTTAAACTCTCTTTCTTCAAGTGCAAGTAAGCTGCCAGCAAACAGTCAAAAGCAGCTTTCGTACTAACTTCGCGCCTTTTGTTCAAGGCTTTCCAGAACTTCAATCTGTCATCCAATTCCTTCCCTTGGTAGATAAACATACCTAGTTTCATGTTGTAGAAGCCTTTGGACAAGAATAAGATCCATACTCCTCGAATTAAGCTCCAAAGTAGGCTTCACAAAACAGTTTCCAGACTTAACCATTTTCTGGCAGTTTTCCAGTTTTGAGGTAGCAACTTTGAGGACTTGGAAAGCAACCTTAATGACATCTTCTGGATCCATACAGCATACCATTGGAAAGATGGTAACTTTATCTGCAAAACAAATCCTTAAAATTGAATTTCCACCAAGCCAATTGCGAGAACCATGCCTCCAAAGTATGTACCCTGAACACGGATTTTGACTTAGCCAAATTCTGCCATTCTTCTTTCCAACCTTGATAGCTTCTTTGGCAAGTAATTGTGACTTGTAGAAGTGGCCAATTTGGATCATATCAGCGATGCATGCTCGCCATCTTTGATCGCCTGTTCGGTGAGATTATGGAGGTGTTTATGGATGAAATTTTGGTTTATGGGGACTCATTCTCTCACAGTCTCCATAACCTAGAACTAGTCCTTAAACGGTGTGAAGAGACGAACCTAGCACTTAGTTGGGAGAAGTGTTATTTCATGGTTCGGGAAGGCATAGTTTTGGGGCACAAGATCTCCAAGATGGGAATTGAGGTGGAAAGGGCCAAGATCGAGACCATCAGTAAGCTGCCTCCTCCCACATCTGTTAAGGGGATCCAGAGTTTCTTAGGCCATGCAGGGTTCTACAGGCGGTTCATCAAGGATTTCTCGAAGATCGCCCAGCCCCTGACAAAGCTCCTTGAGAAGGATGCCCCCTTCCAGTTCACTGATGCATGCACAGCGGCGTCCACGAACTTGAAGGTGAAGCTCACTCATGCTCCTATCATGGCCGCCCCTGACTGGTCCCTACCGTTCTAGCTGATGTGTGATGCAAGTGACTTTGCTGTTGGAGCTGTCTTGGGGCAGAAGCGAGATCAACACTTCCGTCCTATCTATACACCTCGAAGACCTTCAATGATGCCCAGGAAAACTACACCACCACGGAGAAGAAGATGCTCGCGGTGGTGTTTGCCTTCGACAAGTTTCGTCCTTATCTGGTCTTGTCCCATGTGAACGTGTACACATATCACTCCGCGATTTGATACCTGATGAGCAAGGTCGATGCCAAGCCTAGGCTCATACGATGGATCTTACTACTGCAGGAGTTCAACATCAAGATTCGGGACAATAAGGGAGCTGAAAATGTTGCAGCTGATCACCTATCCCGGTTGGCGCACCACCTGCGGACAACCTCGTGGAGGAGATCGATGATTCTTTCCCAGATGAGCGAATGATGATGATGTGCCTGGTGGAGAGTGTCACCCCTTGGTACTTCGATTTTTCAAATTATCTGGTGGGCCAGCAGCTACCTAAGGGGATGACAACTCACACCAAGAGGAAATTCTTCTCCGACCTGAAGCATTACTTCTGGGATGACCTACATCTCTTCAGGATCGGAGCCGACGGGATCATCCGTCGTTGTGTCATGGAAAGTGAGATGGAGGACATTCTATCTCACTTCCATGAGGGACCTACTGGCGGTCATCACGGCGGACGGCGGTAATCGCACGGCAAGAAAGGTGCTACATTGGGGCTTTTACTGGCCCACGCTCTTCAAGGATGCAGACGCCTTCGCACACAGGTGCGACCGATGCCAGAGGTCAGGTAATATCTCTGCCTGTGATGAGATTCCCTAGAATGTATATATAACCTATGAGATTTTTGATGTCTGGGATATCGACTTCATGAGAAGACCAGTTGACCTCGTAAGCTGCTATATGATTTACGAAATCCTCTACCGACGATTGGGGTTGTTTGTTGCTATAGAGGTCTGGAGAGCTGCATTGGTTTGAGTTAGGTTTGCTTGGGGACAAGCAAACGGTTAAGTGTGGGGGAATTTGATGGACCATTGATTGCACATGTTTTTTCCTCCATTCTTGAGCCATTTGAGAGTCGATTCTCGTGTTTTAAGCCGATTTCACGCTAGGTTGTGTGTTTATGTCATATTTCAGGACTTGGCGTTGACGTGAAGGCCACGAAACGAATTTTGGGTAAAAAAGGAGGACACGGGAGTGAAGGACGCCGGAAGAGCAAAATACCCAGGCAGGAGTAAAAATACCCGGCGGGGTAAAATGCTAAGGAGGCCGGGGAAAAGCAGTTTGGGACGTCTGAAGTCCAGAAGGGGTCCCGGCCAGAGAGCAAAAATACCTGATCGGATATTAAGCCTTCACCGCTGCGCTGCGTTTCAAAATCCGCGGCCGGGCACCTGAAATACCCGACCGGCGATTACGACCGGGGATCGCGGCCTGCTGGTTCTTAAGGGAAAGAAGGCTGATTTTTGAAGGGTTCCGAGTTTTAGAGAAAGAAAGTGATACCTAGAGAGAGAAAGAGACGAACCAGAGTTTCCAAGCGCCTTAAATCGATCTTCATCATCAGTGGAGCCCGGACAATGCTTGGAGAAGTGTTGATTGACGACCAGAAGCAGAACCCCATCCTTCACAACATGTTTTCTGCTTCTGAGCTAGAGTTTGCTTCTCTCTCCGTGGAGTAACTTTCACATTCACCTGGGTATGAAGAACCCTAAATTTGTATGTTAGGTCTGATTGTATGAACCCAAATTTGAATCCATTGATATGATTATATTCGGGTTAATTGCATGGTTGGTCACTGAGATTACAAAAAACGTTCAAGTTTGGTCACTTGAAATATTTAAATCCATTGGTGGTACTTCAGTTTACGAAAACCGTTCACGTTTGGTCACTCTCCTTCCAAGTCCGTTAACTTTTGCTTACGTGGCAGTCAACTCTAAAAGTTGACCGTTAAATGTGTGACGTGGCAATAAAAAAATAATTAAATAAATAAAGTTTAATTTTTAAAATTTCCACCTCTTTCTAACTATTAAAAAGATTAAAATAAAATTAAAAACGAACGGAGAATCCTCCATCTGTTTTCCGCCGCCGCATTCTTGGCCACAAATGGGGTGGTTGCTGTTGTTTCCGCTAAGATAAACCATCCGAAGCCGAGGCCAACGCCCCAAAAAAAGAACTCTACCAGGCCGCCTCTGCATCCGTCGGAATCGGACAATGCTCTCGCTCCTCCCCGTCCCAAGCCACGGGAAGTTACTTCTCGCTACATGTCCTCCTCCTCTTCTTCGTCTTTGGCCGCCAAACGCTGCCCGTCGCCGTTGTTGATTTCGCGGCCCAAGACCCCGACGACGCCGTCCATTCTTGCCACGATTAAGCGCTCGCAATCCGTCGAAAGGAGGAGGCCGGCTACCACTACCGATCGCTCTAATTCCGCAGACTTGAGGATCCGACAAGGCGGCGGTACGGGCGAAATGACGAATGCGCCTGTTGATAACTTCGACGAGGAGCTTGTCTGTGTCATTTCAGGGAGAGTCGTTCGCGCTCTAGGTGAGTAAAGTGAAGCCGGCTCCATCCTCGGTCAGCGCGAGGAAAGGGACGCTGGAACGACTCGGTAGATATTCCAACGAACCAGGGAGGAATGCTTGCAATCACTATGATGAGTAGCTTGCTGATGGCATCATTAAGGAGATGAAGCAGTACAAAGGACAACAGGTGAAAAAGGGGTGCCCCAACCCCGCAGTAGTGTTTTAGAGCTGTTTCTGATAATGGTCGAACAATCCTCGCAATCGGATGAGCTTCGTGCATGGATTGAATCTGTTTATTTTGTGTAAGGTCAAATTGAAACTAGAGATTGATATATGGAATGGCGTATCAGGTAGTGAAAATAAACCTGGTTTACACTTTAGGATGCATCATGCAGGCCTCTGTTGCTTCGTGCATCCGTGCTTTATTTATCCGGTCGGTTAGTGTATCATTTTGTTGGTATGATAAATACTGCCTGCGGACCTTTTCATTCATATGGTAACATGAGAAGCAAACAATGAAACATGGGCGTACTAGGGAAAGAGCATTGGTATTTTGATAGTTGCTGCAGAAGATTTTATAAGGAACAACATCCTACCTAGATTGAAAGTCGACTTTGTTTATGGGTTTGGTTGTTTTGCTTTTAGGATCTTTAAACACAATGATGCCATATATAATTAGGGCTTCGGCTTCAGAGGGTTTATTTGAGCGGAAACGGCAGCAACCACCAGCGTTTGTGGTCAAGAATGCGGCGACGGAGAATAGGAGAGAGCATTCCCTGTTCATTCTTAATTTTAATAATTTATAATTTTATTTTTATCTCTTTAATAGTTAGAAATGAGGTGAAAATTTGAAAAAAAAAATAATTTTTTTTATTTATTTATTTTTTATTTGCCACGTCACACATTTAACTGTCAACTTTTAGAGTTGACTGCCACGTAAGCAAAAGTTAACGGACTTGGACGGAGAGTGACCAAACGTGAACGGTTTCAATAAACTGAAGTACCACTAATGGATTTAAATATTTTGAGTGACCAAACTTGAACGTTTTTTGAAATCTCAGTGACCAACCATGCAATTAACCCGATTATATTCAATTGAGGTTTGATTTCTTGCATGGCATGAATCCTAATCAAATTCCTGTTATTTCTGCTTTGACCTAGAAAGAGAATATATGCCTAGGTTGCTAGAGCACCCTTGATTGAAGGTAGTGAATTGACGACTTTAGTCGAGGAGTCAATTCACTATTCTGTACCGGATTTACTTCGGTAGAGGAGGTTTGGTTCGTTAGGGCCTCAATCTGTTTACTCTGGTGGAGGTTAGTCGCCTGCTGGGGACTCAGATTGAGAGGGTCTGAAGACCTTTAGTCGAGACTGCAGACTGTTTAAGAACCTCCCGCAGTATAACTATCATTGAACTTGAACTTGGTAACTTACAACCTGACTTAACTGCAGTCTAGGGGGAAACATATCCGGGTGACCTCTCTCAACTTGAACACAACCTTCACTGCTTTGCTTGCTAGTTTAATTAAACATTCACTACACTTGAACCGCTAGGTAACAAGACTTTCACGGAGTAGTCGTCACACCTAGGACCCGGGTTGACAATTAGAACTAAACCAACTATACTACGCATTAGTAGGTGGTTACACTTGGCCACTTTCTAGTGTGACGGTAGAAGCGTGTCATAAGCCCCTAGGGCATGCCTGGACAACACATTACAAGACTTAATAAAAAAGAACAATAGTCCGTATGCATCCAGACTCCCGATGAAAGAGCCATTTTTGCCACGAGGTAGCCAGCTCTGTGAAAGCTCCAAGGAGCGAAAAGACACTATATTTGATTAGTGGATATTCTTGGCCCTATTATGTTGATTTTTTATTTAGTTTAGGAGAGGACATTATATTTGACATATTTTTTCATTTCAATTTAAAATCCTAAATCAATATTATCATTTGGAAGATTTTTTCTTTAATATGATTATTGTAATTTCTGAGATTTAAAGGGTATTTCATAATGTCAATATTTTAGTGTTTTTTTTATTTAAAGTTTGTATTGAAAGATCGTATGTACCTGCGATTCATATCATAGGCTAAATCGATAGGTTATAATTAGCAATATGAAACGGTTGAACCACAGTTAAATTATGACCACAGTTAAATTTTTCGATACGATTTTACAATCCTTTGGTCCAAACAATTGTTTTACACTGGTGGGAACAAAAGTTTTAAGGTACATTTTGAACTATCTATTCCAAAAAAGCATAAGTCAGTTAGCGACAATGAGAATATGCGATCTCATGAACCCAAAAGACACTTTGCAACTTCTACCTTTTTAAAACAAATGTATGCTACTCATACTCTCGCTTAATGAGTAGCATATATTTCATGTAATATTATTTTCATACATTTTTATTTATTGAATTATTTCATGAAAAAATATTTGCTTCATGAAAATTACTACATTGTTGCTAGACATGTATGCGATCTGAGAATAATTTGATAAGTATGTACACAACACATTATCCAACTAACTATTAGCAACAACTTAACATCATGTCCTATATTTCAAATCAAGCAACTTCAGATTTATTACCAATGATGTGGTAAAAAGAATGCTCTCTATTGGGAAAAACTTAAAGACATACTAAACTCCATGAGACATTTTCTTTCATCCTAAAAGTTAATTATATATGTGTTATGAGAAATAACTCTAATATTCAATTATATGATTTAATTAAGTAATGAATGACAATTAGTTATATTTTTTTCATTTAATATGTAATGCTTACATTTTTTTCATGGAGGTTTAAACAAATTATGTATAGTTGGGATCACTTTCAAAAATATTATGTGAATAATATTGATAAAAAATCTGCATTTCATATAATCTATTATATCTATTATTATATAATATATTACTGGACAAAATTTTTTGGCCAAGTGGCTGGCGCCTGGCCCCTCTGCTAATTGAAGTAAAATAAAAAAAGTACAACGATAATTACTCTTCAAGAAATAGTTCCAGGCATTATACGACGCCGTTGGAAAAGACTAATAGAAAGAGCAAACTGTCTCGCTGCCTGCTGGGGCCCGCTCCAGGTCAGGGCAAAGTCACCTTTTTTCTCTCTCCTTTATATATATTTTTATTTTTTCCCCACACCCTTCGAAATTCAAATTTCTGGAGTGGCATATCTCGTAATAATCGTCCGATCCACGACCACTTTCCGACGCTCCCTCCACTCAATATATAAATTTTTTCCTCTCCACACTGTCCACTCTTCCCCTTTATTTCTGTCATTTTTCTAGGAGTGAGCCTTTGTTCTCACAAGAAAACCTGCTAGTGACGAAATCGAAGCGAAGTCGATCTCTGCAAAACCCTAATTTCCCTTCGATCTTCGTCGAGGAGGAGCAAGGGCAGTATTGGTGGCGGTGTTTGTTTGCCTCGGCCGTCGGTGTCTTAGTCCAATTTTGTATCACGATGTCGTTGAGGCCGAACGCAAGGACTGAGGTCCGCAAGAACAGGTACAAGGTCGCCGTCGACGCGGAGGAAGGGCGGCGGAGGAGGGAGGATAACATGGTGGAGATCCGGAAGAATCGGAGGGAGGAGAGCCTCCAGAAGAAGAGACGCGAGGGACTGGCTGCTCAGCCCATGCCTGCCTCGATGCACTCTACCGCTGTCGAGAAGAAGGTTTGCTTTGTGGCTCTTATCTCTTTTACTTTTTTTTTTTTTTCTGTTCGCTATAGTTTTGTTAATTAATCGAGAGACATGAGATGAACTGATTGCGTCTCACTAATTGTTCGGTGGTTGATAAAGAAGTTCCGATCGTAATTTCGTTGGGATTCTTGGGGTTTGGTTAGTTGGAGTTAGGGTTTTGAATCAATATGGTCGGTTGCTTTGTTCGATTGATATGTGATTGAATCGGCCTTGCAGAGTTTAGCTGTGATAATACTGATCGACTGGTTTATCCCTGTAATATGTTTCGGATGGTTGGGTTAGTTGGAATTAGGGTTCCGAATCAATCTGGTGTTTTGCCTATGCATGATTGAATTGTTGTGGCGGAGTTTGGCTAAGATGTCGTCGAATGACTTATTTATTTACAGCTGTTTTGCTTAATTGTCTGTACTATCATTTTGTTTGCATGCAGTTGGAGCATCTGCCTTCTATGGTGTCTGGTGTTTGGTCTGATGATGGCAATCTGCAGCTCGAGGCAACAACACAGTTCAGAAAGTTGCTCTCGATTGGTGAGCTTTTGGCTCTGCATAAAGTGTTTCTTATCTACGTCTTGTTTCTCCATTCTTTGGTTGCTGAGATTTTGTGTACCCTTTGATTAAATGACAGAGCGGAGCCCTCCGATTGAGGAAGTCATACAAGCTGGAGTTGTTCCACGATTTGTCGAGTTTCTAATGAGAGAGGACTTTCCCCAGCTTCAGGTTTGTGGGATGCCAACCCTGTATGTGTTTTTTATTTGAAATTAACTGTTATCTTTTAGAATCCAATTGGTTGAAATCTCTTGTAGTTTGAAGCAGCTTGGGCGCTTACAAATATTGCTTCTGGAACATCTGAGAATACTAAAGTTGTGATTGATCATGGTGCTGTGCCAATATTTGTAAAGCTTCTGGGTTCACCAAGTGATGATGTCCGCGAGCAGGTAAACTTGTGGGGACATTTTTTTTACTGCTGCAGTGATTCTGGAATTGTTTGTCTTTCTTGTTTCTCATATTTGTCCTCTTATTATCAGGCTGTATGGGCTCTAGGAAATGTGGCTGGGGATTCTCCAAGATGCCGTGATCTTGTGCTTGGCAATGGCGCTTTGCTTCCACTGCTAGCTCAGCTTAATGAGCATGCAAAATTATCGATGCTTAGAAATGCTACATGGACATTGTCGAACTTCTGTCGTGGGAAGCCACAGCCTCCATTCGACCAGGTTTTGTTTAAAATCTTTCCTCTTCTCTTTAGATTGGTGATCAGCTTTTGCTACACACCTCCTTAGATGGTTGATTATGTTCATGAATACCGTGTGTCAAGATTTGGAAGTTGTATAGTTTAATATGTTTGTCAAGACTTCATGGAAATTATCGATGCTTTATTTTTCATACACTATTTGTTTAATGCAACAGGTTAAGCCTGCTCTTCCAGCCCTTGCACGGCTTATTCATTCTAATGATGAAGAGGTATTGACTGATGCGTGTTGGGCACTTTCATATCTATCTGATGGTACCAATGACAAAATTCAAGCTGTCATTGAATCTGGTGTTTGCCCTCGCCTGGTTGAACTCTTGCTGTGAGTGCTGTACTTCCTAATCCATGTTTATTATTATATTAGTATCTAGAGGGAATTTAGAACTTTTACATTATGATTATTGCTCGACAACCTGCTAAACAGCTCACAACTAATTCCTACAGGCACCCTTCTCCTTCTGTTCTCATTCCCGCACTTCGGACTGTTGGAAATATTGTCACTGGTGATGATATGCAAACTCAGGTACTGGAAGTTATATCTGGTTTATGGGAATCAATGAATGTTCTTGACTTGTATTCCGATGTGATATAATGTAATGAAACTCTGCTTTTGTTTCCTGATTGGCTGCTGAAGTCTGGGTGATGTAGTTGCACTATTGGCTATGATTCTTGCTTCAGTGGATGTTGGATTATTTTTGTGATGTTGACTAGTTCTTCTCATTGTTTTCTTTTCCCTTTCCCTTGACTTTTGACAGTGTATCATCAATCATCAAGCACTTCCTTGTCTTCTCAACTTGCTGACCAACAACTATAAGAAGAGCATCAAGAAGGAAGCTTGCTGGACTATCTCAAACATAACTGCTGGTAACAAGGAGCAGATTCAGGTATGTTTTTTGTATAAATTTTCCATAGCAATCGATTGTTGATCATGATTATATTTTTGATTATTTGACTTACATTTGATTGATGCCTTCGCCTTATCTTGCAGTGTGTAATTGAGGCTAATATCATCGGCCCATTAGTCCATCTTTTGCAAAATGCTGAATTCGATATCAAGAAGGAAGCTGCTTGGGCAATCTCTAATGCGACCTCTGGTGGTACCCATGACCAAATCAAGTAAGGATTTGATGCTCGTCTTTCTTCCCCTTTTTTAAAACGATTTCTGTGGTGTGCTTGCTTTTATCATAATGATAGATCACTCTGTCTAACACCATAACAAACAAAATCTCTTGCTTTAATGATGCATCGCTCTTATTTGCTTGTTCCTTGTTTGGATACAGGTACCTTGTTAGCCAAGGCTGCATCAAGCCATTGTGCGACCTTCTCATCTGCCCTGACCCCAGAATTGTAACAGTATGTCTTGAAGGCCTCGAGAACATCTTGAAGGTTGGAGAGGCCGACAAGAATCTCGGCAACACTGGCGGAGTAAATCAGTATGCCCAGTTGATTGATGATTCTGAAGGTTTGGAGAAAATTGAAAACTTGCAGTCTCATGACAACACTGAGATTTATGAGAAGGCCGTCAGAATTCTCGAGACTTATTGGTTGGAGGAGGAAGATGAGACAATGCCACCTGGTGATACTGCTGCTCAATCTGGTTTCCAGTTCGGTGGCAGTGATCCTGCAGTTCCTCCTGGTGGATTCAACTTCAGCTAAATGTACGAACATTTTTACCCTTTTGACTTTGAAATAAGAGAAACCTGAGATTTTTCTTTTTTGCAGCATCTTTGAGTATGGGCCTGCATTTTATGGTCTGGTCTAGAATTGGACCGGATGGAAAATAACCTAAAAAATGAGAACCATAGTCAACCCAGTAGTTTATTGTGTTCCATTCTGTCCGATTTTTCGGCTTATTTTTCAGACTATATGTAGTATGGAAGCAGAATTGAACTGTGTATAGGCGTGTCCCAATGAATCAGCTTACCAGTTTTTGTTTTTCTTGCAGATTGGTCAGCTGTCTTCAATCAGTCTCGGGGGTACTTGTCAAGGTCAGGTCATGTCTGGTCGGGTCGGGTCTGGTCTTGAGTCGGGGTTTGGGTCGTCTTGGTCCAGTTGTCCAGTCCAGGGTGTCAATTCTAAAGGGAGCTGGGTTTGGTTCGGGGTCTTGAGCACTTTGCTGCGTAGCAGTAAACAAACAACTTGAAGAACCCCGATTCCATATTTCTTCTCAGTAATGGGAAGTGATTAGTCCACCGAGATTTTAGCCCTCTTCGTAAGACATTATCATGGTTGTCGAGTCATCGAGTCTATCTACGGAATGTCTTATTCGCTTTCCACAATCAGTTTGGGTCTTATTCATCTCTTCCCCTCGTGATTTTGGAACTCGCAGAATCCTCCTTAAGATTGAGTCTTTTTGTAGTTATGATGGCAAATACCCGAGGATGAGTCTGTTTCCTTCTTTTTTTTGGTTTTCATACCTTTTGAATGGTATAGCTTTTGTTTGCTGCGAGCGAGTTGATGTTTTACTGTGAAGTCGAGATGTAATGAAAGTGTAATGGATTTTGGTTATTGGAAATGCAGAAAGGTCTTTGCAGTTTTAAGAGGGTACTGCTTGATTTTGTTGAGCACTTGAAGCTCTTGTTTGGTACTATCTTGATTTCAAACAGGTTGTAATGTGCATGGATTGAGGAGAAGTCGGTTTTAGCTGCTGTACAGTGACGGACACAGTTTCTTTCGAAAGTTATTTTTTTTACGTAAGTCAGTTTGATTCATGGAGATTTGAAGTACAGTTCAGTACTTAAAAATATTTTCTTTTTTATATCTAAATTTTAATTTTGTTTTTATGTAAATTGCCATTCGAAAATTATGTTTTGGTGGTATTAAAAAAATTTGGTATGATATTTTAGTGCATAAACTTTCGCAATTTGCATATATTTCAATGTTTTATTAGTGGAAAAATAATTAGGATTTTCTTTTCTTAATCTATAATAATTAGTTGAAAAATAAAAAATAATTATATTTTATTATTTTTTTAATTGTCACGTCATTCATTTAAGTTAACGTAGACTAACGGCCGGTGATCAAACTTGGACAGTTAACCTAATTTAAGTGACTACCCATGAAATAAAGTAATTCTAGTGGCTAATATGAACTTTACTAGTAATTCAAGCGATCAAACTTGCGATTGAGCCCTTTCGCAATTTGCATATATTTTCAATGTTTAAATGTCATTTGAATTCATGAATCCAATTCACCAATTTATTGGATCCAACTTCTTGAATCAATCCGTCATTGGACTCAAAGTCATTTGCAAGTTGCCACCTTTACTTTGATGGCAATTCACCAATTTAATCCAACTTGATGAATTCATCAATCAATGAAATCAATTCATTTGGCAGTTGTCACCTCAACTTAGAATACCAGTCACCAATCCATTTCATCCAATTTCATGAATCCATCAATCAATGAAATAAATTCATCTACTAGTTGTCACCTCTATTTGTCTTGGCAACTCACAAATCATTTTATCCAACTTAATGAATCTACCAATCAATGAAATCAATTTGTTTGCCCGTTGTCACCTCTACTTGGACGACAAATGACCAATCCATTTGATCCAACTTCATGAAATCCACAAATCAATGAACTCAATTCATTTACGAGCTGCCAGCTCAACTTGAACGACAACGTTCATTCCTTTTATTGTGCCCAAGTTTCACTTTATGCATTTTTGTTCTCATTTATTTCTTGTTCATTTCCACTAGTCTTCATTGTCCGCGCTCCGCGTCGGGACTTGTGGTAAATTTATGAAACTATACAATTAATGTAAAATCTTATCAACATTAATGGGTCTCCAAATCTTGGCAACCAGTCATTCAATAATTTGATTAGAAGAATCAAATTATGTGAAGAACACACAGTGAGAGATTTCATCATTAGTATACCCTGGAGTAGAAGACGGAATAGGTTAAGGCCCTTTACGAATGTCTGGTTATGTAGAATAACTGTATAAGCTTTCCTGAGTGCAAAGAAATACAGGTGTACCACAACAATGTTCTAGCAGGAAACTATAAAAGGTGCCAAACATTAACCAACGGAAGTCATTTTTTAGGCCACGACATATAATCTTGATTACCGAGGGTTGGTTAACAGTTATCCATAGCAAACAAAGCTTTTTAGCAGAGGTACAATCACTGCCAAGACCAAATAATTATGACATTGTTTAATTATTCCCACACAATCTTTCAGTACAAAATAAAAACGCTTTGTCAAAGAACCCAGAGAAACCCCAAAGCTTCAATCTGCTGCTGCAAGGGTATTGGAAACCATAAGAAAAGTTAGATAAAGAGAGGAAACAAAGACATCTAGCAATATAGAGGCAAAAACTCAGTAGATGAAAGAAACTTTTTCATTAGTTGATCCAAAAAGCATCAAACACGAAGGGCCTTTATTTACTTCAATGGGTTGCCATTATTGTTCTAAAATTAGGCTTATCGCGATAGAAACTAAGGAAAAACAGTTGTATTATAGAGCTTTCGGATTTCTCATACCATCAAAGTGGGGCGTCATAGCACTATGTGTTATTGATTTAAACGATCGCATTAGATTGCAGCAAAGAGAATACTAATCTAATATAGGCATTCATAGAAAAGGATGAAACCAACAAAGACATCAGATCATCTATCCCGGAGAAATTTACCCCAATGATATGCATTTCACATGGTTGATACTTGATACCTCGTGGAATAGATACAGAGCTAGGAATGTCCGGTGCCTACCTATTAAGATAAAGGAACTGAGGCAAGAACACCAAAACAAACAGTAAGCATTAACCAGAACTGCCAAAGGGAGAAACAGAAGATAGAAAGGAGACGAAAACCAGAGAGTATATCTACACAACTACAATAAGCAGGATGAGCTAAGAAAAAGAGGATCATATCCACAAAGTAGAAATTAAGAGCATTAAGGTACCCTCATAATAATCCAACAAAAGACACAACAACAGATTGACCATCGATGGTTGGTTATGAGAGAGAGCGATTAGCTGAATCGGGAGTAACAGGCGGTGAAAATTCATCAGCTTGTTCTCCGCTGACATCAATCTTATCACCATCCGCTATGGCTGTCTCCAAAAAGATTGAACCAACCCGTCTAGAAATTAGAAAACATGCTCAAGAGAGAGTAAGAAGTAATCACAAAACATGAAAATGGGGAGAATGAGCCTATCGAGTTTTAACTGGTCAAAGAGAAAGCACAAAGCAAAAATGAAAGCAGAACCTAAAACCAAAACACCAGAAACCTAAGATTGTGGGGGAAATCAAGATATGGATTTAGAGTCCACAGTTGCCGCCTCCGATCCGGTTAGCGCTCACGACGTGAATCGCTCCAATCATAGTTTCCGGCTGTAGTACAGTAGCTCTGAGGTATCTGCTCAAAGTGGCAGTGCAGAGCGAAGAGAAAGAAAGAAGGAAAAGGGAAATGAGTCTCTGGAACTAAAGAGATGAAATTGGACAATTATGGTCAGGAACTCAAAAGTATAAAAAAAAAAAAATTTCTCAAATGCTTACCCTCTTCCCCATCGCTAGCGTAGGTGAAGGTCACATAATCTCCACTTGCTTCAGCTGAGCAAATCAGGCAGTCCTACTCCTCTGCGACCGAGTTCCATTTCAAAAATTATTAGGCGATTGAAAGAGAATAAGGGGAACACAAACTCGAGATCAAGCAACTGGGAATTAGGGATTGAAAACTCTAAAATACCTACGACTGAGAAGGGACTCGCGTGCTGACTATAGCCGCCGGCGATGCTTGGCGTTTCTGATGTGATTGTTCACAAAGACTGTCGATGAGGAGGGAGAGAGGGAGAGAGAGAGAGAGAGAGAGGAGACACTTGAAGGAGGTTTCTTACTTTCTCCCACCCCTGTCGACTAATAGGGCCTCTAGGGGAAAAAAAGTAATGAGTGGAGTTCACATAGGGGACTGCGCCGATTAAGTAAAATGAGAGGCTTAGGAAGGAATACGTGGTGCTACATCCACCAAGTAAATAAAATATCTCTGACTCTCTCTTTTCTTGAGACACCCCAAGTCTCATCCAAAGACGTGATGACCAATGCGCAGGCACAAAGACCAAAAATGGGCCCATTCAGTCTCCATGTAACCAATGTGTGACCGCGTCTGTTAGAATGCAAGGAAAGCTGAAATAGACCTCTCACATGAAAGATGACAGTGGTTCAAAGAGAACATGTCATCCGAAACCAATCAGAGAACACGCTGCACCCTCCCACACTGAAGTCTCTTCCGAGTTGTAACAGTAATTTCAGTCTGTATGTACAGTAGTTTCAGTCTTGGCGTACAGTACAAGCCCCTTAGTGGGTTTTCTTCTTTCAATTTCCATAAAATTAGTTTCATCTCAAAATAATCGCGAGCTTTAATTTGATTTTAATGAGAGAGAAATTATAAAAAAAAACATGAATATATTGCATCGATGTTACAATCTTGTAAATTGTCACGTGCACCCCATAAATTGAAGAGCACCTGATTCTCTATATTCTAGCAGTGCTGAGAGGCAATGTTGTCATAACCGAACCGGAGCATGATCCGACAATGCGAACGGCTCGCACTTTAGTGGTCCAACCGGCAATAGACCGTTTAAAAACCGTTAGAGAACCGGTACTTAATAAACGTTATCAATATAAACAGTGGACATTTTTTTAATAAGAACTCATCTCTTTCTTTCGAAATTGTGAAATGGAAATAAGGATTCAGTTTAAGAGCCCGACGTTTTTGGTTTATTTCAATTTTCTGCAATTTCTTAATTAAATTTAACGGCTGAATGGCAAAAACCGGATGAGTGACTCGATCGGCTCGAGCGGTTAACCGCCTTGGCCGCTCGCCAATCGTTACATAAAACCGGAGCGGCTTTTAGACTGTTCCGAGCCGATTTTGTGACCGGGTGGCGGTTCTACCGGTCGGGCCGAGCGGCTCGGTTCGGCTTTATTAACACTGCTGAGAGGATATATAATAGTGTCTCCGTCGGCGTCAATTAATTTGTTGCATACCACATCGAGGAACAGTACAATGAAAAAGCCCTGTTTTGGTAGGACACTGGAGACGGTTGAGACGCCGAGCCTGGTAGCGCTGGCTTGTGACCCAGTTTGGGGGCATTAAAGGGATGGAACCGGTTGGGCAGAAACCCGGGGACCTGTGCCAGCTTGGATTTCCTCGCGGCGGAAATTCTGGCTAGATGGCCTGTCCCCTCCCATGGCTTTGGAGTTGAGTTTGCTTCAGGCTGCACCCTGCGGGGACATATCATTGAACGGCTCTCGAGTTATCCTCCTAGAGTGGAGGTAAAGCCCCGCGGGGCGGGTTGGGGCCTGCTACCTAACCTATCCTCCCGCTCCAAAAGGCCATGGGATTATAGGGGATCCCAGGTCTGACCCTGTGAGGGTCCGTGGGCTTGCATGGGGAGCCTAAAATTTGAACCATCACCTTTTTTATTGTTTTTACTTCGTCGTCCATGCACGTCGTCATTGGCCATCCGCTCTTCTACCCTCCCGCAAGTCATCGCCAGAGAACCTCCTCGACCGGAGTCGAAGCTCGATTGACCCGCCGGACAAGCGTCGTCTACGCGCGGTTGAACCATCGGCCGAACGCGCGTTGATCGCGGTCGACCGATGGACCTACCGTACGTTTGCAGCGGTTGGCCTACGGTTAAGCCGCGGTTGGTGTTTTTCTTTTTTCTTTTTGCAATTTTAGTTTCTTTTGTTAATTAATTATTTAAATATATAATAAATTTTGTAATTTAATTAATTATTTCTTTGTATGTAAATTAAGTATGATAATTTATAATAGCGTTAATATTTTCGTATGGCCTGAACTTTGATCAAAATAAACATCCTGACCAATCTTTTCAATCTATAACATCCTGGCCCGAACTATACACCAAAATAAACAATTTCGCCAAACCCGATGTTTGACCGTTAACTTGGACGGTCAAACGCGTTGACTAACGGTCAATGCGCCACATCACTGCCACGTCACTGCCAAGTCAGAAGATCTGATTATTTAATTTTTTTTGTTTTTTATTTTTGGTTTAACTAAGGTATTAGATGATTTTTTTAATTTATAATATTTAAAATTAGGGAATGTGTGGAAATTGTGAATTATTTTAAATATTTTATGCTGACTTGGCAGTGACATGGCGCGTTGACTAACGGTCAACGCGTTTGACCGTCCAAGTTAACGGTCAAAAGTCGGATCTGGCCAAATTGTTTATTTTGGTGTATAGTTCGGGCCTGGATGTTATAGATCGAAAAGATTGACCAGGATATTTATTTTGGTCAAAGTTCAGGCCATACGAAAATATTAACCCTTTATAATAATAAAAATTTAATAATAAGTGGATTCTTTCTCAGTTTCTCTCCTTCCATCTCATTGAATAGTTTTTTTATTAGTTTAAGTGTTGTTTGTTTGCTAAAAGGACGGTAAAGAAGCTAAAGGTTAAAAGTGTAATTTTGATATTTTTTAGAGCCACCTTTAGCAGTTTTAAGGGCGACCTTTAGCAACTACCATATTCTAAGGACCACACACCATATTGGTCGGTGCTATTGGCTAGCTTAGTATCTGTTTCTTTCTATAGACCTGCTCGCACAGAGAATTATAGCTTAAAAGTTATGCAAGGATCGAATTGTTGGGAATGAATAGCTTTGAAAACTATATTGAATTAATTATCCAGTATTTTTCTATTAAGAAAATAGAAGGATAATTAATAAAAAAATATTATGGAGATAATTAGAATTAATAATCTTAATATAATATATTTTAATTATGGGAGTAATTATCTCCCTAATTAAAATGTGACTTATTCCCAAAGAAAGAGAGAATATTCTGGGTTTTCTGCTCCTATAAATAGCAGACCCCCCAGACCCTCTAAACACACCTCAGAAGAGCAGAAACACGAGAGAGAGTGAATTCATAGAGCTCCGGTTTCCCGCACAAAACCGATGAGCAATAAATAAGAGTGGCTGTTTTATCCTGGAGGCGACCGGCTGATAGTCTGCCGTGCGCAACGAATGTAGTGCCGCGAACGTCTTACAGAGAACGACCTAGTCCGCGACTCAGCCAGATCGGCAACCCTATTTTTCTGTTCGGTTTCCAACCATTTTAAGATGCTCGGTTGCTGTCATATGTACCGAACAAGATGCCGATTCTGGCTCGAACAATTGCTATCGCGGGAGAGATTAGCCGCCCGTTCTGCTCTGATCGTTGCCCTCAAGAATGTATTCCATTCCGTTCCATTTTGTAATAATGACGGATTCGTTTGGCTTGGAAATTGGTATGCGAAAAATTGAGAAGGAAAGTAATTTCCAAATAATTGGACGTGGGTGGAAGGAGAGCTCGCATGATTAGGGTTGGCTTCTAAAGTGTCTCTATATTGGAAGAAGATTCTGGTTCTATCCAGTAACGTCCGCCCACCCACAACAATTACATCCACTGGTGAAACGAGATTGAAAGGAAATTTGGTGCCCTCAATTCCTTCTCTTGTCCAATTAGTTGTTATTGTCCATTTAATTGTTACTTTACAGTTAACTACTCGTTTCCATAGTCTCACCTGCATAAGGGCAGAGCTTTGTGCTTGCGGCTACTTCTGGATTCCTTTGGACGAATTAATTGGACAGGGGGCGTCCAGTAGCGAGCACGGAAAAGGAACAATGCGGCAAAGTAAACGACGGCCAAAGAATTGGTGTGTCGCATCTGCTCTCTTACTCGGCAGATGGGTCGGGTCTTTAGCTGCTAATGCTGGCGTGATATGGAGGCCATTATCTGGTTTTTGGGCCAACATAATTTATTTCATTCGATCAGAGGAGGCCATAAAAGCGAAGAAGCAGGAAATCTATTAATGGTGCTAGCTATTCTTTGAAAAAATCAGAAAGCAATGAATTCTCGGAAAAGAGCGTTAGAGAATCGGTGACATGATAACTAGAAGAACATAGAGTGTGTAAGTTATTGTAAAACACATAAGCCTATGAAACGAAATACTCATTAGTTTGTGAAAACCATAGATGTCAATGTATTCCATTTATATTAAGAAATAGTGGGGTGATATCCTGCCTACTATTAGAAATAATGGATAACTAGTGGGGGTAGCGAATCTGAGTATGAACTCAAAAGAGACAAATGAACCATAAATCACGAAAGGATTTTGGTTATGAATTTGTTATTTACACCCTAAGAAAGAAGAGATCCTACAAGTCTGCTGATCGAATAGGCAGTGATCTAATCAGTGGTGTAGTCACAATGATCTAATCAATGGCACAGTCAGGATCTATGTTGAAGTGTGTTGATAACGAAGAAGGAAGTTACGAACTCACATGGAAGATTTTCTTGCATGCACCCCAAGATGTTGCTCCTTTTGGGACGGTTTGTAACAATTAGAAATTAGAGATTAAAAAATGAAATAACCTTATTGGTAGTGGTTTGGGTTATGGGGATTGGGGAGGAATGGATTGGATAGTGGAGTAACGAATTTTATTATAAGCCTTTGTTAGTGATGGAATTAGAAATTACATTAAGGGTATTTAGTGATAAAACAAAATCACCAAAGGTTGTCAAATAGTTTTTAGTTCAAATACTACTTTCATTACAATAAAAAAATTTACAAAGAATTTTTGTTTCAAAATTGAATCAAGATTTGTCAATGAACAAACCTTTTATATATGTGCGGGTCCACTTCTAACCTTTGCTTTGTTTTTTAAACGACAAACATCTACGGTATGTAAAATAACTATGAATATAACGTTCTTGGGCAATGTTCGTTACGTCATAAATGATCAAGGATTTGATATTCATGTTACTCACATTGATAAGATGTGTGCCAAATCATTATGTCCTTTCCTAGTTAGGAAATATGTTGCATAATATATTCTCTACAGACATGTTGGATTATAACATCCCACTAAAAATTCAGCATGGGTTCATCTCTTGCGCCAGAATGTCATGCCCATTAGGGATGTCAGTTGGTCGGTTTCGGTTTAATCGAAAATGATTTTTCGGTTATCGGTTAAATCGAGACGTCCCCTATAGCTGCCGACCACCGACTCTGAGAAAGCTATGGGTAGCCGACCACCGACCGACCGATTTTCGGTTTTGGTTCGGTTGTACCGCAATTAACTGAATTTATTTAAAAAGAAAGAAACCACCCCACCCCACCCCCAGGGTTAAATGCATGACTTGCCACTTAAGTGTAGTGTATGTTGCACACTAACCACTTAATTTATTTTTGTTGCAACTAAGTCATATAAGTTGAATTATAGTTGCAACTAAACCATATAAATCAAATTTCGGTTGCATCATCACACTTTCCGTCATGGAGTTAACGGAAGGTACCAAAAAGAAATTATTTTGCTACCATTTGGAAGAAAATAATATATATATCATCATTTTGAATAAATGACAAAATTATAGGACCATTTTTCAACAATGACCCTTTTCAATTCCTTCATCGCCTCACCAGTCACCACCACCCTCTTCTGTCCAGAAGGGAGGAACTGGAAATTTCCATGTACACCAGCATGTATGGGTCAAAGTATGGAGAAAGCCCATGTTCTTCTCTACTCAAAATCTTTGGATGTCCTCTGTTATTCCATCTTATACAGTTATACTGTTCTTGCTCTATAAGTCCAGAGTTCAGGAGATTGATTACCCATTTCTGTCCCACTGTTTCCTTACCCTCTGCCTTGGTTTCTAATTCTATATCACTGCTCCAAATTGAAGAACCTAAAGTACTATATTCCAGAAGGTCTTAAGCAGGGGAGATTGGTAGGAATCTCTCACTTTCTGGGCAACCAAAGTAAAACAGAACAGTAAAAGAAACGAACTTGGAATCCAAACGAAAAAGAGCGAGCACAATCAATAAGAGAACACTTTATAGACTTAAAAGAAGAAGGCACATACCAGGAAGAGAAAGGCTGAGAGCAGCTAGGTTATGGATTACAGGATTAGAGCTGAAACAGAGTCTCCGATATGGAAGGGTTATTGGGATATAATCATTTTGGCTTAAGGGATCTTTGATTTCGTCCACTTTAGATTTTCGTTTTTCTTCGTTTCTGTTACAGATTTATCGCTCCAGAAAAAGGGTGAGGGAGGAACTGGAAATTTCGGTTCCTCCAGCGGTGGTGAGGCTACGAGGGAAGGAGACCCGAGAAGTAAAGATGAGAGGGGGAAAGGGTAATTATCCAAAATGATCACATAGGTTTTACATTTGTGCAAAATAACTATATAGGTTTTATTTTATTTGAAATTGTTTAGTTTAGTACCTTCCGTTAACTCCAAAGACGGAAATTGTGATGATGCAACCGAAATTTGATTTATATGATTTAGTTGCAACCATAATTCAATTTATGTGATTTAGTTGCAACAAAAATAAATTAAGTGATTAATGTGCAACATACACTATACTTAAGTGGCAAGTCATGCATTTAACCCCACCCCCACGTATTCTTCTCTCTTGTTTTGTTAGCTAGCAATAAAAAAAAAAAAAAGAGAGAAGAGGAAGCCCACACGTTTCTTATCTTCTTCTTCTTTGTTTTCCCAAGAATAACAAAACCAGAACTTCTTCTCTCCTCTCCCCGCCTCTCCTAAACTGCTACCCTCCAAACTCTTCTTTTTCTCTTCTTTCTCTACTTCTATGAAGGAAGAGAAGCGGCAGCGGCGCGCGGTCGGCGGGAAGAGCAAGGGCGGCGCGCGGTCTTCTGCTTGTCTTTGTTTTCATCTTGTTTCTCTTTCTTCTTCTGTTGTTGTTGCTGGGGGTCGACGAGGGTCGCGGGTCGGAGAGGGTCGTGGGTCACCGAGGGGTCGCACAGGGTCGGGGGTCGCCGGTAAAAAACTGGAAGGGTTGGGGCTCTCCAGGGGGTCGGCAGTAGGGGGTCACGGGGGGTAAGGTGCCGCGCCGGCGGGTCATTGTGAATGGGAGGAGTGCTGGATGCGGCAGGGGGAGATGAAGAGGCAGGTAGGGTTGGCCTTGGCTTGTTTTTAGGGTTGAAATTGTTGAAACTGTGCCGTATATAGACATTGATGAGAGGTGTTTCGGTTAGCTTTGGTTAATTTTGGTTTGCCGGTTAAACCAACTTCGGTTACTCGGCTAGCCGAAGCGACCTATCTATGTGCCGACAACCGACCGCTTTTGATAATTGTCGGTTTTTGGTTAGCCACTAACCGACGGTTATCGGTTGAACCGATCAGTTAGCCGCTAACCGGAAACCGAACTACCACCCCTAAATTGCCCATGGTCATACTCCTTGCTGTTTGAGATCATCCCAATTGTCATTGTTGAATCTATACACATGATAACTTTCTTGTACATTGCTTTCCAGACACGAATGAGGCCTTTTTCTGCACCTTTCAGCTTCGCTCGTGTAATTGATCGACAAGTGTCTAGGTTAGTCGAGAAGACGTTAAAATATCAGAGTAAGTCTTATCCATTTGTATTCAACATCATCCAGCCTCTCTCTTGGCTGTTGAGTTTGTCGATCAATATTAAACCATGCCAAGATTTTACACCGGAACGCATGCTTAGAGAACGTTTTGCCATTCATGACCTCTTCATTCCTTTGCTTTCATCATTTCTGGAAATTAAAGTCAACTGTTTTTTCCTCGTTACTTAGGTTGGAAAGCGGCCATTAATCGATGATCTGTTCAGAAATTGAGTGTCTAAATGTGCTCCATAAGTACCTTGAGAATGGATTTTACTTCACAAGAATAGAAAATAAAAAACTTTAAAAAATCATAAGTAAATTCTGATGAATACATAGTTAATCGTATCGAACTGGATCTGATAGTCAAAATTAGAAAACTACTTACCACCACCAATCGTTATTATAGGTGTCAATCGGGCCGGTTCGGTCTGGGTTCAATCGGGTTCGGGTTCAAACGGATTCAGGGTTAGTCGGATTGCGGGTTCATCGGGTTTGGGTTTATCGGGTTCGGGTTCAAACGGGTTGCTGGTTAGTCGGGTTGCGGGTTCATCGGGTTCGGATTCAATCGGATTGCGGGAAAATCGGGTTGCGGGTTCATCGGGTTTTGGGTCAGGCGGGTTGCGGGCGGGTCGGGTTTCGGGTTGTTCGGGCCAGCGCATCAAGTAACTTAACTCATTACTCATTAACAACTTACACATTTTATTACACTAATTTAAAATATTTTCTCAACTTTTTAACCAATTTATTTCTACCTCGTATATATATACTTTATTTTTTTGAAAAAAACTAGTCAAAATGTTAAATCAATTTGTATGACTTGCAAACTTGTTATGTAATTAATCATAATTGGTAAAGTATTATAGCTAATAGTAATGGTGATATCAATATTTGCAACCAAAAGACACCGTTAATTGTTTATATAATATTTTAGTATTAATTCAGTAGTAATTGGATTAAAGTATCTCGTTTAGTATAACCATGCAAATCTGGTATTTTGCATGTGGTATTTGGCAAAAGCATAGTGATAAAAGGAGTTATTTCAAAATAACTTATTGCCTAAATAACTTTAGTAAACTGTTGCCAAACGAGTTATGTGTAAAATTGTTCGAATTATCCTAAAAATTGAACCATTAAAGATTAGCTATCAAATTTAGTAAAATTATTGTGACTTCAATCATAACTTACTCAATAGCATATCCTATACACTTAGTTTTACCCTCAATCAACAATATTAAGTTAGTATATGTTGTTGATTGTATACCCTAAACCATCAATACATTATACACTAACCACATAACCTATACCCTAATCATATGTCCTTGAGTTGTGATTTTGCTAGTATAGTTAATTTAAAAGTGAAATTCATACTTTGATTTTGCTAGTATAGTCGGGTTCGGGTCAATCGGGTTCGGGTTAATCGGGTTGCGAGTAAGTCGGGTTGCGGATCAATCGGGTTCGGGTTAATCGGGTTGCGGGTTAGTCGGATTGCGGGTTAGTTGGGCTGCGGGTCAATCGGGTTGCGGGTCGGGCGGGTTACGGGTTGTTGACTTTTAGTCAATTCGAGTTGCGGGTCGGGTTGATCGAGCGGGTTAATCGAGTCGGGCTATGTTTTGACACCTATAATCGTTATAGACTTGTAGTACATCATTTGAAAAATACATATGCGAATTGGATTAACCATAGTAATAGAAGTATCACGCGGTGAATTAGCCAACAGAATGACAAATAATCATCCCTCGAGGCCACGTGGCAAGCTCCCAGCTCCAAAACTTGGCGGGTGCTTATGTCACCTAAAACCCCATAGAGGGGCACTTTCGTCATTTCAGAAAAAACTGCCCTCTTTCCCTCCCCAAAATCGCTAGGGTTTATTTGCTCTTTCCTTATCCCCTCCACCGCGCGCCTTACTACAAATTCTCCTCTGCCGCCAGACCCAAAAAGAGACCGGAGCGTCGCAGACCACAGACGAGAGACATCCTCTGTTGTCGGTTTTCCTCCCACCTCCGCTAATTTCTCTTGCTCTGTCGCCATAGCCATTTTTCTTTCCCCTCCCTCTCCAAACTCTTTTTGTTCTGTTTCCTCTGTTCTCACGATCGCCCTGCATGCAAGTAATCGCAAGCTCGTCTTCACCGAGAGAGAATTTGTTGTGTGCTATGGATCCCGACATGGAGGTATATATGTTTTTCTTCAGCTTGCTCTCTGTTTCGTCCCCATTTGTTCTTGTTTGTTTGAGCTCTGCTGATCTGATCTACTTGGGCTCTTCTCGTGGTCAGAAATCTGAGGGCGGCGTTGAGGAAGACGGTGGGGAGAAGAAGGTTTGCTGCGACTGTAAGACTACAAGGACTCCTCTGTGGAGAAGCGGACCAGCCGGCCCAAAGGTCTGCCGCCGCTTGCCCTTCTCTTTTTCTTTAGTATACGACTTAGATTTGTTGGTCTGCTCTTATTTGCTATTGATTGACTGATTGATCAGGGGGGGTTTTGGTATAAAATTTCGGCTAGTTACATAGGTTTTAATCGATTTCTCGCTTCTGATTCGGAATAAAATTTTCCGATCTGGGTTAATTAGGGATTCGGGTTTAATGAATCTACTGGGTCGGGGTAATTTTGTTTTCGACTGCTTCCTTTCAATTTTCTCCCCAAATTCGCCCAAAACCCATCTGATTTTGGCGCGATCTTTGGGAGCGTTTTCCTTCCAGTTCTGACGAATTTACCCGCCTGATTTCTTTCTTGATCTCCGCAGTCGCTGTGCAACGCTTGTGGAATCAGGTTCAGGAAGCGGAGAAGAGCTATGGAAGACCCCACCGCCAAGAAACGAGCCACGCCGCCGCCGTCCCCGCCACAGATAGCCTCTTCCTCCGCGGCTGCCACAAGTACCAGCGAGTCGACCACCACAACCGACACAGCCATATCTTCCTCTGTGGCTACCGTATCTGCCCGCAGTAACAGCAACAGCAGTAGTAGTACCATCTCCGCCGCCGGCCCAGTGAAGGTCAGAGTGGTTTATTCCGGCAAGAGAGGAGGGATGATGGTCCCAAGATCGCCACCGTCCGTGCAGCCGCATCCCTCAGAGGTGGTGGTGAAGAAGCAGAGGTGCCAAAGGAGGAGAAGGAAGCTGGCGGAAGAAGAACAAGCTGCTTTCGTCTTAATGGCTCTCTCTTGCGGCGCATTATTTGCCTAGGCGAAAAGAAAGGGGATGACCTAAACATTGAAGTTGGCAAAATAAACCTAGAGGGAAGGGAAAAACCACCACCAAAGGCGGCGGTTTTTCAGTTTTTGGTGACCTTTTGATGATGATGTTCTGTTTGTTTGTCCCGCGTCTGAGGAAATTAGGGGATAGGAGGATTTGGGGGAGTATGTAATGTAACTAGATATAAGACAATTCACAATAGTAGCTGTAGCGGTGATAGTAGTAGTTGACTTGAGAGGGGTTTGGATTTAATCTTGTGGGAAATTTTGGGGACTTTGTGTAAAGAAGAAATTTTTGGTATCAAAGTCGTAGTATTTATATACTATCCGTTCATCGAATTGTTGGCGAACATCAATCCTACGCAGTTGCATCATCTTCCACCGAAACCCCTCTCGGTTTCCGTTGTGGAGTAACTGAATCGCGTCTGCAAATTCTTCTTTCACTAGCATCGAAGATGCCCTAGACGCATATGTGCGGATGCTCCGTGTGAACTGAATTCCAAGCCTTCCATTGTGGAACTGAATTCCCCTGAAGCTGTCATTTCCGTGTACAGACGGAGTCGGCCAGCCAGAATTTGGCCTTGGGATATCGAGCGAATGTGTTCATTTCTGTCGCGATGAGACACAGATTGTGCGGAGCTGGTGAAATGGACGCTGGTCTTAGGTTGATGGAGAAGATGGAAGGTTTAGGTTGTAGCCCTGATGTCTGGTGAGGGTCCGTTTAACAGTGTCTTGGATGCTCTCTGACTGCAATTATATCTCGAGCTTTAGACGTACGTGCTTTCGGAGATGCAAGGTAAAAATCTCGTGCGTGATGTTAAGTCCTGTAATTGCTTGAGTCATGGTCTTCGTGTATCTCGGACAGTGTTCGATGAAATGTTGGAAAGAGAAGTCATGATGGGTGGGTTCTTCAAAGGGTGGGGTGGAAGGGTATTGTTTCACTTTGCATGGTGAATTATGCAGAGCAAAAGAGCTATTTGATTCCATATCCAGCATCGAATGCAAGCATGATGATTGATTGATGTATATAGTTACAGTGTCGTGATTGGTGGATACAATAGAAATAGAAGCTTCTATCAAATAGTGCTTGTCTGTGGCTTCCATCAACACAGAGATCATTCGGCTGTCAGAAATTAAAGCTGCCAATTGGTTCTGAGATTGGTGGTTGTGTTTCCTTGCCAAACCAAATATCCACAGCCGGCGCAGAATTTGTTTCAGCGGTGTTGATTTGATGTTTTACGATGGAAATTCTTGCGGTGTCGTTTGATCGGATGCACCGCTGATTGCTGAAATCGAGATGACCGTCAAATATCCACCGGACGGTGTTGATTTGATCGGTGCAACGAACTTCTGAAACGATGACGATCGTCAAATATCCACCGCCGTGCGATGTTGATTTGATCGATGCACCTCTAAATGGTGAAATCAACGTGACCGTCAAATATCCACCGCCGAGTGATATTGATCTGATCGATGCACCTCTGACTTCTAACCAACGCGACCGTTAATACGGTTCGCACCTTTCCAAACTACGTTCGAACGAGGGTGTTTGACTTTTGGGGAATCTACGTTACCACTACTCCTATGAAGATTCCAGTGGAGGGCTCCGCGACTACGACTACGACTACTTCTACCAACTATGGAGATCCTTCCTGGAAGGAGAGCTCCGCGAAGGAGTTACAGAGAAAAGGTAAAGTTTGAACAGTGTTGATCTCTGTGGATTTTTTGGTTGTTCCCTTCTCTCTCCTAGCTCCACTGCTTTTATTCGAAAAACATTTTCGTAGTCTTCACGCTCGGTGAAACCGCTTCCTCAACTACTCTGTTGTGAACTCCCACGTGTCTTAACCGTCTTGATCTCCTCCTCGCTCTGGTTGGCGTGAATCTCACGCGATGTCGTTTTATTCCTCAAACAGCTCTGTCTACTTTTTTCTCCGTGACATTGTTTTATATTAAACACTGTCGTTTTATACTCCGCAGTGTTGTTTTCTCTCGCGACGTTGTTTTTAGTCAAACAACACCGTCTAAAACAATCATTAAACATATTAATTAATTGAACTAGCTCATTATTTCCACGCGCTCAAATTCCCATCCCTTGCCGCCGTTTAATCTTTCCGCGGCATCGCTTTTCACTGATCGATGCCGACCTTGAACTGCTCCGTCCAGGTCCCATCAAGCAATGTCATTTATCATTCCGCGACATTGTTCTCTACCAAACGGTACCGTTTTCTCGTCTTGCGGTGCCGTTAGGCTTGGCGCGCGGCCCTCACCAAAATCCTACCCGTTGTGGTGTAGTTTTTTAATTAAACGGCGTCACTTAGTAATACCGAGAGACTGTTGAGGCCTTTAGCGGTGTCGTTTTTAGCTAAACAGCACCGCTTGATTCTACCCACGACATCGTTTTAATATTAAACAACTCTGCTTCCAGCCTTGCGGTGTCGTTTTCTTCCCTAATCAGCTCCGTTTGTTTTTTCCTCCACGACACTTTTTATTTTCAACACTGTCGTTTGCTAGTACCGCGGCATCGTTGGGCCTACTCGCTGTACCGTTTTTTCTCCTTCCGACAAGGAATAAAACTAATAATTAATAAATAAAAAACTCCTTTTCCAAGACCACTACTAAACGTGCGGCCCACCTCTTATTTTCCGGTAAACATTGTCGTTTCCAGTGCCGCGGTACCGCTGAGCTTCCTTGCGGTACCGTTTTTCTGTTTCGCGGTATCGTTTTACCCATCCACGATACCGCTTGTCTCTACGTGGTGTCGTTTCACTCTCCTTCTCCGATAAGGAATAAAAACACACTCATTTTCCAACACAACACCTATCTTGCGGCCCATGTCTCACAACAATTGTTTTCTAGTAAACAATGTCGTTTCAAGTACCGCGATGTCGGCGAGCTTCCTTGCGGTGTCGTTTACACTCTCCGCGACATTGCTCGATTCCAAACGACACCGTTTTGTATCATGCGACATCGAATTAAATGCCGAGACTCATTAATACGATATTTAATTAATTCAAATTAATTTTAGGTGTAAACAATGCCCCCCACAACTTGGTTTATAAGAATTTATGAACCAAGTTGTTGACACAACTCAAATCACCTAAAATTACTTTAATAATTAAATCAACTTTGCCCTAGAAAATTCATGAATCACGTCTAGGCAAGGATGCTTAGATTAGGAAAACTATTAAAAGGTAAAAGGGGCCTTGTAATTCTTTTGCCTTTGCGTCGCTGGATCCGCAGCATTGATAATTTTTTTTTTTTTTACCTGGCCAAATTACAACCACAAAGAACATGGTTGTGCCAAACAGAGTTGCGGTGAGAATAGTATTCTCCACGTCTCCGTTTTTCTTTTCAACCAATATTGGTCTGCTCCGCAGCCTTATGCAAGAAGGAAAATTAATATAAAATTTTTTCACGACTTGCAATGCTGCGAATATTACCTTGGCCACTTTTCTACAATGTTGCGGCAAGTCATAAGCAACGCTGTTTGGCCAAAACCTTTTATTAACATTTTTTTTATTGTTTTTATTTTCCAACGTCATTGCGGCTAGTCCCGCAGCATTGTTTTTGGAGGAAACTATTCCACCCTTAGGAAAGCAGCGCTGCAGCGCCCATCAATCATTCTATTTGGGCCAAACTGATTTCCCACGAGATTGTGCGGCCAACACCACTGCTTTGTCGAAACCACTAGTGTTTTGATTTTTTTTATAATATATTACGTGGCCTAACTTAGCCACATTATTTATTAATAGCGAAATTAAAAACAAGCTAGACTTTGACATAAATCATCATGCCAAATGTCCACACCCACTGCCAACTCCACATATCAAACCAAACAAGCCATCCGTGAACAGTATGACTTGTCACAGCCGGCTTTACACGCGACTGAAAAATTTTAAAGTCACAGTTGGATCTAGTTCGAACATCCTTGTTCGAGACTCCACGATCTCGATTTGGCCTCAACTCAGGTTTGGGCCAATGAGAACTACATGTATTATTTTCTCTAGGTAGGGAACCCACGTCTTTTGGCGCCTTTGTCCCGCTAAATCGACCATGCGGCATTGCTTGCCCAGACTGATATGATTTTCTCACCTGCACATTCTCACCATATTGTCGGAAGTAACGCTTGCGAGCTCCACCAACACGTATGTAAGTGACATGATCTTTTGCATTTTCACGCGAGATTGAAGTTTTTCGGGCATTCAGCTTGCCCCCCTGCTCGAAAATCATGGAAGACTTGTTCCCAGCCAGCATTGGCGTCGCAACCCCATGTCGGGGTTGATTGAACTTGCCTCCCTGTCCACTCAGTGGAGGCTTTGGGGACAAATTACAATGAGGGTTCTGTTAATTCATGCCAACTCTTGCGGGATTGGTTTTTTTCACGTGGTCACCACCTCCATTTTGAATAGTGTCTGTGGTGACCCTAGCTCTATTTTTCTTAGAACAGGGTGGATGTGGCAAACTTATTTGCCACTTACAATGTTGTTTCTCCTTCAATCTACCATGAGCTGGGATGACATGCCCCCCTAGCGGCTTAGATTGAACAATGTTGTAAAATTTGTCATCTTTCAAGATATCACACTTGTTCTTCCTAATTTTCTGAAACTTATTATAAACATGTTTAAATTTTGTTCTTTGTTGTGGCTTTCGCAAGACCGCTCTAACTTTCCTGTCCTTCAAAACAATAGTGTTCACAGGAGAACCAACATGAGGTTTGCTGGCCCCTAACTCCACTGTTTTAGCCACAAGTTTAAGTGAATCCTTATTGGCAATACCAGAAACATGTTCATCTATTATCTCAAAAAATGTATCCATATGTCTTCCAAGAGAATCACAAGGCTTATTTAAAGAGATAAAATAGAGATTTACCTGCCGGTAATACTCCTCTATAGATCGACGAAGAGACAGGAGTGCAACATGCCTATCCATGCTCGACATGGATTGGGGACACTCCTTCATCCAACCGATATGTCTATCTGCCTCCTCTGCTCGGTCAACTTCAATGTCGGGCACACGCTCCACCTTCACAGATTCTTGTGGAAGATCAACGTTGTGTTTTCCATGCCGCAGAGCCATATTTCACTTCAAACACACGTGTCCCACCGGGTGTGCCAAATTGTTTCCTTGCGAAACCAAATATCCACCGCCGGCACAGAATTTGTTTCGGCGGTGTTGATTTGATGTTTCACGATGGAAACTCTTGCGGTGCCGTTTGATCGGATGCACCGCTGATTGCTGAAATCGAGACGACCGTCAAATATCCACCGGGCGGTGTTGATTTGATCGGTGCAACTGGCTTCTGAAAACGATGACGATCGTTAAATATCCACCGTCGTGCGATGTTGATTTGATCGATGCACCTCTAAATGATGAAATCAACGTGACCGTCAAATATCCACCGCCGGGCGATGTTGATCTGATCGATGCACCTCTGACTTCTCACCAACCTGATCGTTACTACGGTCCGCACCTCTCAAAACTACGTTCGAACGAGGGTGTTTGAGTTTTGGGAAATTTACGTTACCACTACTCCTATGGAGATTCCTGTGGAGGGCTCCGCGACTACGAATACTTCTACAAACTATGGAGATCCTTCCTGGAAGGAGAGCTCCGCGAAGGAGTCGTTTTCTTGCGGTGTCGTTTTCTTCACCAATCAGCTCCGTTTGTTTTTTTCTCCACGACACTGTTTATTTTCAACACTGTCGTTTGCTAGTACCGCGGCACCGTTGGGCCTACTCGCGGTACCGTTTTTCCTCCTTCCGACAAGGAATAAAACTAATAATTAATAAATAAAAAAAACTCCTTTTCCAAGACCACTACTAAACGCGCGGCCCACCTCTTATTTTCCGGTAACCATTGTCGTTTCCAGTGCCGCGGTACCGCTGAGCTTCCTTGCGGTACCGTTTTTCTGTTTCGCGTTATCGTTTTACCCATCCGCGATGCAGCTTGTCTCTACGCGGTGTCGTTTCACTCTCCTTCTCCGATAAAGAATAAAAACACACTCCTTTTCCAATACAACACCAATCTTGCGGCCCATGTCTCACAACAATTGTTTTCTAGTAAACAATGTCGTTTCAAGTACTGCGATGTCGGCGAGCTTCCTTGCCCGGTGTCGTTTACACTCTCCACGACATTGCTCGATTCCAAACGACACCGTTTTGTATCATGCGGCATTGAATTAAATGCCGAGACTCATTAATACGGCATTTAATTATTTCAAATTAATTTTATGTGTAAACAGGTTGCAAAGGTACGTATGTTGTATCCAGTCCAAATACTTATGGTTGAAGGCATATGTATCGTGGATCATGGTTGTAACTGAAGCCCCGAACCATTGATCCTTGCTCTAGTTTTGCCGTTACTTCCCTTTTTACAGATTCCATCGTGTTTCTGCTACTTCCAATGGTCGGTGAATTGCAGAGGCCAGAACTTACTTATTTGGTTTGGGTCTTATGGGGATCACAATTTTTCCCGTTGTATGAAGCTGACTGTCTCTCGATGTTGCAAAAGTTAAAGACGGCGGTGAAACCTCTTTGGAAAATTGCAAGTGGCCCAAGAAGTAAGGCAGGTAATGGGAGATTGGGTGGGGTTAAGCCACAGTTGGTTAGAAGAAGTAGTGTAGTCAAAATTGCATTTTAAAACTTAAAAAATTTCAGGTCATTAAAATATTTCTACGCAGAATTACACTTTACTCTTATAGTTATAGTCAAAATCTAAGCTTTTAAACTTAAGAATTTACGTTTTCACGCTTCTAGATCACCAAAACACTTCTACAAAGAATCACGATTTTGACTGAATTAGTTAGAAGGAAGACAAATGAGGTAGGTGGTGACATAAACTAGTTCACATATTGGCTAATCGGGACAGTCAAGAAGTTGGGGTAGTATTCTTTTATATAATATAAATATGTAAGGTGGCGCATTCGGTGCACCCACTTTTTCAGCCGCACTCAGTGCACTCGCCTCATA